AATCCTGTGAGTGCATGGGCCAGGCTATGGCAGGAGATAAGACTCGTGGAAGCACTGCTTGTTTTAGCCCAAGATCACTTTTTCCACATAGCTGAAATAGTTTATTCAAATGTAGTAATGTAAATCAGCAGAAGAGTTGTACCTTCTTGTCTTTGCTGTGATAACTGTCATGTTTTAGAGGCACAGAGCCAAGGTGGTATCAGCGTAGCTTGGCCATCAGCATTTTCAGAAAAGGGGAAATTCTGCACACGGACTGAACTCTCTGTTGGTGTCTTTCCAACTGGAATCCACTGAAATAAGAATTTCTGTTCATTATTTGAAGGATTGCAGTCTCTGTGGTGGATTGACCCCAGGGAACAGTGAAACACCCACTAGCCACTCACTCCCCTCCCCACTGGGATGGAGGAGAGAGTTGGAAGAGCTAATGAGAGAAAAAAATGTGGGTTGAGAAAACAGCTTAATCGGTGAAGAGGGGAAAAATCACAAAGTTATGAAAAGACTTTTTCTCTTGGAGAGTTAAGCTCAGTGCTTGTGGTAAATGGTGCTGCTGATAAGAAAGTCCCTTGTGTTCCAGTGAGTGTCTGATGATTACATGTAATGTGTCAAATTCTTCCTTCTTATAGATATGCATGACTTGCTATTGCCCTAAGTAGACTCTAGTCGTTTACCATGGCATCTTTTTATCATTTCTCTCATTATATCTTTCTCCAACAAAGCAGTCCTTTTTCTGAAGCTGTTCTGGTCAGACAGGTAGGCTCTTGCATTGCTCTAAGCTATAAAAATCTTAGCAGAATAAATGGTTCAGATGGCAATTAGTCGATAGTTGTTTCCCCTGCCTGACAAAACTTGAGCATGCCCTGAATATAGTGAACCTATGCTAATAAATCAAGCATTCAGCCTCCCCAGATAAAATCACAGGTCGATGAAATGATTGTGCTTGGAGAGTTTTGAGCTGTGATTGAGACAGAGAAGTGACAACTTTCCTTACAACCAAAATTAAATGAAAATATGTGAAATTCAGATTTTGAGTGTAAGATATTCCTCATATTGAAAAAATTGGTAAGAAATACATATTTCAGGATAGTATCTATTTTAGATTAATTTTCTTCCAAGTTTGTTTTTGTGTTGTTGTTTTTTTTTCCTTTGTAAAATACATCCTTTGTGTTCTAAAGGTGAGCAAAAATAGATTTTTGTATCTATCTAATCCCACCTCTTGTTTGGTACATGCAGGGACCAAAATCTTACAATCTGCTGAAATTGGGATATGTTTTCCATTAACTATTCTATAGTAACAATCACCGTCATTATGGTTTCAGCACTTAACATCCTGTATAGAAGAGGGTAATAATGTTTCATAGAATAATCGAATTATATAATGACTACAGTTGGAGGGGACTTTAAAGACCATCTAGTTACAACCCCCCTGCTGTGGGCTGTGACACCTTCCACTAGACCAGGTTGCTCAATACCCCATCCAACCTGGCCTTGAACACTTCCAGGGATGGGTCTTCCACAACTTCATTGGGCAACCTGTTCCAGTGTCTCATCACCCTCACATTAAAGAATTTTCTCCTAATGTCTAACTAAAATCTCACCTCTTCCAGTTTTGATCTATTACCTCTTGTTTTCTCACTACAAGCCCTTGTAAAAAGCCCCTTCCCAGCTTTCCTGTAGCCCTTTCAGGCACTGGAAGGCTGCTATGAGGTCTCCCTGGAGCCTTCTCTTCTCCAGACTGAACAGTTCCAACTCTCTCAGCCTGTCTGCATAGCAGAGGTGCTCCAGCCCTCAGATCACCTTCATGGCCCTTCTCTGGACTTTCTCCATGAGCTCCATGTCCTTCTTGTGTTGGAGGCTCCAGAACTGGACACAGTACTCCAGGCTGGGTCTCACGACAGCTGAGTAAAGGGGGAGAATCACCTCCCTTGACCTGCTGGCCATGCTTCTTTTGATCCAGCCCAGGATGCAGTTGGCTTTCAGGACTGGAAGCACACAGTGCTGCTCATGTTGAGCTTCTCATTCACTAGTGTTTAGTTAGCAATGGTAAATCTTCATCTTGAATTGTTTCAAAATCAGGGAAAACTTTCTTTAAGATTGATTCTTTCACAATAAAATTTTCCTGTCCTCGTTTGAATTTGCAAAGTCTTCTTCTGCCAAGGTGAAACACTCTGAGAACCTCATTTAGCATCAAAGTTTTCAGTATCCTGAATACATGTGGTCACAGAATTTTATTCTGTATTGCCTAATGAAACGTCACCATTTGACTCTGGTTTGACAACAATGCTCTCTTGTGCCCATTACTCCTTGTCTTTTCCATGTTACTCTCTGCAAATAGGGAGCCTGCATCTTCTTTATAACCACCCCTTAAGTACTAGAACATTGTAATGAAGTCTGCACAAATCCTTTTTTCTCAAGGCTGAACAAGCCCAGTTTTCTCAGCCCCTCGACATATGGCAAGATTCCTGAACAAGGTAGTCCCTCTCTTACTTATCTCTTACATTATTCTTGTTATCTGACTCCCATTCAACCTGACACACAGTTAAATATTTTCTGATCCATGAGTCATCCTTACCCTGCTCATTATCCCTTGCCAGTGCTAATCATAAATCTTCATGCATGTTTAGTGTCATACTAACTCATGCCCTCAAAGGTGCACAAGGCAAACCTAATGGCTGAACTAATTCAGAAAGCATCAAAGGTATCCGAACATACATACATTAGGAAGTAGTCCTGGCACACAGTTCAGACCCTTAATATTCCAAGTAAATGAATCCCATTACCCACATTTCTGTTTTGAACTTATTGAAGAATTACACTTTTTCTTCTTTTTCTAGCTTCTGACTTTAACAGTAAGTTCAGTCTCCTCATCACCAAACCAGCCCAGATAATGCCTTGCCTATAGCTTTGTCCTTTTGTCTTGTTCCATTTGTATCTAATGGGAAAGAGTCAAAGAGGAAGACTTGCCTTTATCTTACACCAACTTCTACTTTATCTCTTCCTATATCCCACCTTTTATTCTTGTATTTCCCAAGCATATATTACAAATGCCCCGCTTACTTTTCTCCAGTAAAACCACCTGAAGCAACTGAGCTCCAATACACTTTTGTGACAGGAGGTAACAAAATGTTTGAAAGGGAACCTTGAAATCCTTTATGAAATGGTTTTCATTTCACAGAGAATCGCTGAACACTACCCAAATGCTGCTAAACACAATGGCAGCACAACGTGTTGAGGGCGTAGCAGGATCCATCCCTCAATGGCTGGGGAAAAGGTCTTTCAGAGACACTCATGATCTAACAAAGTTCTTATAATTGCTCATGAATAGGGAAGGACTTAGCTGAAGTAACAAGTAATTCATGCAAACACACCTTGTCACCTCACTGTAGCTGGGTTTGGTTGTGGCTTTTTTTTTTTATGGGTGGTTGGGGTTTTTTGGTGCGTGCTAAGAAAGAGAACTGGCACTTTTCCAAAGAGGCGTGTCAGAGGTAACTGAACATGGCATTGAAGTGGCCTATTGTGTTGTAATAGCCTTGCTGGAGACCTGAAGGTGTGTCTCTGCTGTTATAAATACCATGCTGGTTTTACAACTGCTCTGATTCTTTTGAAAGAGACGAGTTGCATCAGGAGTTGTGTTTGGATATCTCCAAGCCCCGTGTAAGGTATGTCTTTTGGTTATCTTAATTTTGCATGCTTCCATTTTCAAAAGAAAGTTACTCTCACATAATTAATTTTGATGTTATTAGTTGCTGTATTTGCAGCAGAACTTTAAATACTGCATTATGTTCTCTGAAGAGGGTTTTATGGATTGAAAATCTCTGTGTATAGTATAAGGCATGAAGCTAGTCAACTAAGAACTATGCACAAGTAGGACCTGCTCACATCTGCTGCTACCTATGTATCCTAGATTCTAAATCTATATAACTAAAAATATTTGCAGACAGTTGAATGTTGAAATAAGTTTCTTATTAGTATGCCTACACATGAATGTCTGGGTTCTAATGCAGAAACTTGGTACACAAATGGCTATGATGAAAACATCTGAAAACTACATTTAGGGATTTAACAAAAGCCAGGTAGAGACCTTCTACTGCTGTGGAATGTTTGGTCCTGAAAGCTGCTTCATAAAGAGAAACTCCTACAGAAATAAATGTGTTCTGTGCAAATACAGAGATCAGCTTGATAATAATTTGCTAACTAGCTACATTTCAAAACTGAAATAGCATATTTATCCCATGATTTTGGCAGCTTTAGACACAGCTCAGTACTGCAGGCATCTTCAAAAATAAAAAAGTAGTTCTGATTGCTTACCAGGTAAGGCAGCAAAGAACGCACCAATAGTTACTCTTTTGGTGTCTGAAAGGACTACTAGGTTTGTTGGGTTTTTTTTCTCAACAGAAAACTGAAACACTGGCATAACCAGTAAATTATGATAAGTTTCAGGATGCCTAAGAAATAATTTTGCACAACTTGAAACAAATTATTTCCTCTCTCTTCCGCATATTCTTGAAGAAAAGCCAGAGGCTGGAGTCAAAATTGCTTATGTGCCATTCAAAATATGAGAGATCAGGGGAAAAACGATGGCTTTATATGCTATAAATTGAGATGCCCATCTCAGATGGGCAAATCCCAGGTTCAAATCCTTCCTCTGACTGCAGCAGAGATTTAATTAAAGTACCTCAGTCACTGGGAAGTAGTACATCCTGGGGAGGAATCTTTCCTATTCCACATTGCACAGATAATTAAGTAATATGATCAGAAGGACTTACTTACTCCATAGCCACCTACAGTTCTCAAGGATATACGTAATTGTGCTAGAAACCAGGTACTATTCACACAAAAGAGAGAGGATTTTGCCACTAAGATAATTTCAGTAGGTATCAAAGAGCAGTGCAATACCATGTTTCAAATATTGCAATTGTCAAATGGAGTCCAGCATTAAGTGAAAATGTTTTTATATTTTTGTCTTATCGTTTTAAAGGCAGATAACAAGCAAAACAGAGACCATGAGGATCAAAAGCTTTGGACTTCTTTGTGTATTGGTTCTGGTCTCCCAGATGCTAATAGCCAACTGTGAAAGACAGAAAGAAAGAAAAAAGGGAAGACAGGGCATAGAACACAGTGGAAAAAACCAAACTGAATCTAACCAAGAAAACGGAAAAGGGGGAAAGCCAAGAAGAGGAAAAGCATCTCCTAAAGGCAAGTTTAAAACCGAAGAAAATGCTGAGTGCACCTGGGCAGTGACCAACATCAGTGCTGCTACTGTGCGTGTAGACTGCAAGAATGGTGACAGTGAGTTCTGGTGTGAATTCTCTGGAGACCCTTCCACCTGCCCACAGTATGCAGCAAACCAGAAATCCTACTGGAAACAAGTCTCCCGATCCCTAAAGAAGCAGAAGCGGATCTGTCAAGACCCCAAAAGTGCCCTAAAATCTAAACTATGTAGGAAAGGCCGACGAAGTGCTCATCTCAAGCTGACTCACTCAAGCCTGCTGACATCCGTGGGTCCTGCGAAAGGAGACACAATTCCTCAGGCAAAAGAAGTTGTTCCAACTCCAGCAGCTGCCTCTGTGACTGAAAAAAAGCTAGAACACAGTCCCCAAGACTGTGTAGAAGACATAGATTATATTGATCAGAGAAAGGTGGCTGAGGAATACTGTCCAGAAAGCTTGCTTTCTTTCTGCAACTTTTTTATTACAATGGTGCAAGACAAAAGGTGCTGAGGAAGTGTTTTTAAAGCTCTGTATCATGAAAGCTGGATCTCATCTAAGTTACTGCAAGCTACTCCAGATTTTATTGTCGTGTTATATAGTGTATATATAAAAAAAGGAATATATTTTTCTGATTTTGTATATACATATCAGATTACACTTGACGTAGTTGAAGATACAGTTTTTATTTTGCATAGGTTGCTACACAGGTCTTACCAAGGGATGTTACATACTCTGCACAGAAGTATATAAGTAATTGTCTTGCCCTTCTTGGAGCTGTGCTAGCCAAAGGGATTAATTCAGTGCTATGCACTTCTTGATTATGTACCATACCTTTGACCTAAATATTAAGAAAAATAAACTTCCAGACCTTTTCAAAATATTCTCTGTGTTTTACTAGATTTCTCAAGAAGTGCTAAGGCTTTGGCAAAGCTGCTATAGGATGAAGCACCCTGTACTAATTCTCTGGCAGGCAAACAGAGATGCAGAGCTAAAATGACTTAAACAGGTTTGTGCATATGCCCAGAACTGGACCCCTTACTCAAGCAGCTAAAGCACTTGTTCTCAACACTGACTGTGTGTTTCATTGAAGTTTTATTGTCTGTTATCTTTGTATATGGACAAAATCAATAAATACTTTTCTATTAATTAAACTTTATCTGTATTTAAAAAAAAATGAAAATCAAGTTCTACAAGACCAGAGACTTTAGAAAATGTACAGCTAAATAATGACAACTGATCTTTGCTAATTTTTTTTAAAACTCCAGCTGGAAGGAATATGCACGTTACACTTTCAAGTGGCTCTGGGCTCAGAAGGTGGGTCTTCAAGCAGAATGGTCCACTTGAAGAAACTTGAACTTCGATTAATACAATTTCCCTGGGTGTTTCTAGCAAAATAAACTAATATTTCTGTTCCTTGAGAAAATATAGCTTGTTCCCTTCTGTAATTATCTGATTGCTAGAATATTTCAAATAATATTTTTAGATGGGTAGTTATGAGGAGCTCACATCCTGCCACTTCCTTCTTTTCCCTCATTGTTGCATATAATAACTTTTTATTTCGGTTAGTATGTCTGGGGAGGGTATTTTAATGTTACTCTGTCTTGTTGCTACAGCAATACAGGGCCATGTCATTATTTAATATCAGTATTTTCTTAGCAATAAAGAACTAACTCAGCAATAAATATTACTTAAATTGAAGATGGAAGTTCTCAATATGGAAGAAAAGTACTACTAAACATACAGCTTTTTTGTTGTTAGTAGGGACCAAGCCTTCTTACAAAGTCTTCAAATTATTTTGGCAGAGTCAGGAAGAAGGCATAGCATCAGCTCAGGCATTCTTCTTTTAAAGCAGACAGTGTCCTGGCAGCTCTCCTGAGTACTTCATATTATATTGATTTACATATTTTGCTACTTACATTATTGTAATCTCTATGTAACTAATATCTTGAATGTGAGACACTGCTCTTAGTCAGGCAAATTGTGTTTGAGAAAGATTCGTGTTCTTGCTGAATTTCCAGCCCCTGCATGCCCTGTGGAAACACTGGACATGACCAGGCTGGGCAGGATTCTATTGGATTGTTGCCACAGCAAAGCAAAATTCCAGTAAAAAGGGACATCAGCTCTAACTCTTGTGGAAGCTGGAACACACAGCCATTCTGGTGCCAAGCAGGGTGAAAAATTGATTTATTCTTATTAAGGTGGATACTTAAGCACTGAAAGTGCAGGTGAGTTCCAGCTGCCAGACACTTTGTGTGTTGGCCTGTGCCACTTCACATGCTGAGGTCATTGAGATAAGAAAGTCAAATATGCAGAGGAAGGATTAGGAGCACACCTTTGGCTCAAGCTGTCCTAGACTGTTGTAATTAATTATTGAACGTCTAATCTGGTATGCAAACACCTGTATTATAGTCCCATATCATAACCAGAGCACTGGGCAAGGTTGGCTTAAGAGGCTCAGTTGCTCCAGATGTTCTGGAAAATGTCCAATCCTAACTACCCGGAGTTGCTGTTACCCTGGTGAGTACTGTGGGAAGTATTTTGTGGCCTGAAGTGTGTCCTGCCCTGCTCCAAGCTGCCAGGAGGCACTGCTCTCCCTGTGGATGCTAGCCAGCCAGGCACACTGAGCCAGTGACAAATCCTAGAGCAAATTCCTGCCTGGGATTCCAGAGCTGTGAGTTACATCTCTGTGTGCAGGACTGTCAGCACCTGGATCCATGTCTGGGAGCTGCATGGTCCTCTACAGGGATGCATTGCATTTCTGATGCTTTGTCTTCTTGCTTTCTTTCAAGATTGACTCTTATCTTCATGAATGGATCATGCTCAGTCTCAACAGCCACATTTCACTGATTGTGTCACTATCATACAAGGACAGTGCAGAGCATCAGGAGAAAAAGGAGATGTCTGTGCAGCCTTTTTCCTTAGAAGGTGGGCTAATGTAAGTGTGCAGATCTAGAACTGTCTCATCCAAAGGCTGGAATTTTTCACTTCCATGGGTATGTAGTTTTGACTGTTCTTCAGAAGGGCACATTTCAGAATAGCAGGATCCGAGGGAAAGATATCTGGAGTTTAAATTCATCAACAGCCTCTTCTGTAATTGCAGAGACCACAAGTCTATGGCTACAGGCACCTAAGTTCTCTTTGTACTTGCCTAGCCTTGTGTTTCAGTCCTACATCTGCAAAGCAATTGCTTGAGAGCAATTGCATGTAAGTCACTTTCTCCTGGGTATTTACACAGCCAGCTAGGTCAGTATAATTTTGCTGCTTCTGGAGTGATGCTGGTTAGGATATTTAAAACATTTTCTGGCAGTCTTCATCTTAGGATCTGTGGTCATTATGGTAAAGTTCACAGCAGAGCCCTATTCCATCCCTCTTTCCCCAGGTGCACCAGTTGTCATAGTGTCAAAACATCTGTTTGAATAACTTGGAATACTGGTGGTAGTGACTTTTCTAACACTTTCTATAGCAGGACAGATGGGAACACAGTGAAGGAAAACAATTAATGTATTTAAATTATGTCTGTGCAGCCCAAGCCCTCTGTCCTATGATGCCGAAAACATAAGGATCTCTGCTTTCTTAGCGTTAACCTGAGTTAAGGAAAAAACAGCCCATTTTATATCTAGGAAATGAGATACAGGACGACTGGATGACCTTGCAGACTAAATGGCTGAATTGGGAAACTAAACAGAGGTCTTCAGAGCTCTCTTCTCATGCCTCATGATTAGATTATTCTGCACAGGAGCTATACATATTTGTTCCTGAAAATATCCAACTTCGCTTCTAGATGTTTTTAAATCATTAGGAGCAGGTTTGGGAAAAAGTAACTTGTTTTTTAGGCAGCATAGTTTGTTCCTCCAGAAAACTCCAAGTATTATAATTTGAATATTTACTTGGAAAGGAAGATAGGGCTTTTGAAGATAGGAAATGCCTTCTAGCTTCAGGGGTGCAGAGGTTTAGGGATTCTCCTTGCTCTTGCAATATGGAATACTTTTACATTTGGTAACTGCTTTAGATATGGATGATCTTTTTAGGTGGACCTAACCCCAGTATAATCCCAGACATTCTAGAATGCTCACCAAACTTGTGGAGTAAAAAAAAAAAAATATTTATTTTTTTTTTTATAAAAGGGGAGAGAAACATTTGAAAATTAAGAGTTTTTCAAAAGTTATATCCTAATATATTAAAGTCTGATATAGAAAATTTTAGAAGTATCTCTGTATTCACTAGGAAATCGGGAAACATTGTGAATGCCCAGCAAGAAGCTCTGGCAATGCAGTACTACTTAAGGAGCCGTAAAATTTCAGCTCTTTTGACTTCAGAGATTTTATTATTTTATTATTTTCTGTGGTGTGTTTTCTACTCACTTTCACACACAATTTCAGTGGAATGAGTTTCCGCTCCTTTTGAAACCTCCTTTATTCATTTGCCGCTTTGGCAACAGTACAGATTACATATCTAATCTCCTCTGTTGCATGACTCCTTGTAGGAGAACAGAGCCGAGTGACTCAACCTTGCTGCTTTCAGGAGTGCCCTGCCCTCTTCTTTCCCTGAGGGGGCCAATGAGTACCTACCACCTGATATCACCTCACCTGGATTTGACCAACCATAGCGCAGGCTGAGTGTTCAGACAAGGCACATTTCACTTCCGCGCTCAATCTGTGCAGACATAGCTGAACCCAGATAACAAATTGCACTCCCTTTTCCACCTTTACCTTAAGGCAAGGCAGCTCAATACTTGTTGGTAGCTGCTGTGCCTCACCCCTGCTTTTGCCCAGTTTTCATTCCATTTCAATATATTTTATGGCTTGTTCCTCTGGACTGTTTCCAAGAGTGTTACCACTTTGATAAGCACACTGGGAATTGATCAAGTGCAAAAATCTGGCTTCAAGGATGTGCAATCCAGCAGGTTCCAGCCTGCAGTGATTCCTTTCAATCTTGTCACTAGGGTGGTGGTACCGTTCCATCCCTGGCTGGAGCATGCACTGGCTACTGCCTGTTGGCACCTTGAATGGCATAACAAATCTTATGGCTCCTAATACCACTGAATGTATTCCTGTGTTCTAACATCTTTGGGCTTCTTTCTGCCCCCTCCTTTGAAAGAGCAGGGGAACTCTGAACCCTGGCTGCAAGCATCCCCTCTCTTCAAGAATCATAGTAGGGTTAGAGTTATCTGACACAGAACACCTAGAGGTTTCAAAAGGATATCCAGGTGCCTCACTTGCCCATTCCGTTGCCATTACTGCAGTGAGTCAATGCATGGTCACAAACAGAGCAGACTGGCTATGCCACAAAACTTTTAACCTGTTTGTAAATCTAGCAAAAAAGGGTGCTCTAGGGCCTTGCTTATCTCTTTAACAAGAATTCATGTAACGGGTTTCTCTGGAACCATGCTTCTGTCCATGTAAGTATTTTTTTTATTCAACTACTAGTACTTCTTCCAAAGTTACTTGCTGATCCCACCAGAAATAGCTTTTTTAAGACAAAGAAGTGATAATGAGTTGGTGGAAGAACTG